GGAGTGATGGAGTCACGGAGCCTGGTGTGTGAGACTACACGAGCTGCAGAGTTTTGGATGATCTGCAGCTTGTGAAGGGAAGAGTTGGGAAGGCCGATGAGGAGGGAGTTTCCGTAATCGAGCCTTGATGTGACGAATGCGTGGGTGAGGGTTTTGGCAGCCTGACGGGTGAGGCAGTGGCAGAGTCTGGCAATGTTGCGGAGGTGGTGGTAGGCAGTCCCAGTCATGGCGCGGATGTGGGGGTGAAAGGACAGTTCAGGGTTCGAGACACCCAGGTTCCTGACTGGCTTAGTGAGGTTGAGTGTGCAGCCATGGATGCTGATGCTGCCAGCGCCCGAGGTGCGGAGGCGCTGGGGCGAGTCAATTAGGGAGCCTCGGTCTTGCTGACGTTGAGTTGGAGAAATTTGTCTCGCGTCCAGGTCTTGATGTCGAACAGGTCAGTATGCCAGTAGTCCTGGAGTTGTAATTTAAGCAGTTCAATAATGATTTATTTATTGGATGTACATTAGAATACATTAGAATATACAGCACAGAAACAGGCCATTCGGCCCAACTGGTCTATGCCGGTGTTTATGCTCCACATGAGCCTCCTCCTGCCCTTCCTCAACTAAGCCTTCAAACATAACCTTCTATTCCTTTCTCCCTCATATACCTATGCAGCTTTCCCTTAAATACATTTATGCTATTTGCTTCAACAACTCCTTGTGGTGGCATGTTCCACATTCCCACTACTCTCTGTGTAAAGAAATTTCTTCTAACTTCCCTATTTCATCTATTTGTGACTATTATATTAATGGCCCCTGGTTTTGGTCTCCCCCACAAGTGGAAACATCTTTCTTATGTCTACCTTATCAAAACCTTTCATCATTTTAAAGATCTCTATCAGGTCACCCCTTGCCCAACTCTTTCCAAGAGAAAAGAGTCCAAGTATGTTCAGCCTTTCCTGCTAGGTATAACCTCTGAGTTCTGGGATCATCTTTGTGAATCTCCTTTGAACCCTCTCCAGTGCCTCCACATCCCTTCTATAATGGGGGGACCAGAGCTGCACACAATATCCTAAGTGTGGTCTATGGAGGTTTACTATAACTTCCCTGCTTTCATTTCTATCCCTCTGGAAATGAAGCCCAATGCCTGGTTTACCTTTTTATGGCCTTATTAACCTGCATTGCTACTTTTAATGATTTGTGTATGTGTACCCCTAGGTCCCTTTGCTCCTCTATCCCATTTAGGTTTTTATTTTCCAAGATGTATGTGACTTCCTTATTCTCTTCTACCACTTCACACTTTTCTACATGGAAATGCATTTGCCATTTAAATGCCCACTCAGCAAGTTTATTAATGTCTTGCTGTAATTTGTTGCATTCCTCCTCTGTATTTACTACTCCACCCAATTTGGTGTCGTCCGCAAATTTTGAAATTGTATTCCCGAATTTTGAATTTTGAAATTGGATTCCCAAATCCAAATCATTAATGTATATTGTGAACAATGGTGTCCCAATACCGATCCTTGTGGAATACCACTGCCCACCCCCTGCCAGTCTGAGTAGCTACCTTTTACCTCTAGTCTCTGTTTTCTGTTTTGCAGCCAGCTTCCTATCCATTCTGTTATTTTTCCCCTGACTCCATACGCTCTGACCTTATTCATTAGTCTATTATGGGGTACCTTATTGAATGCCTTTTGGAAATCTAAATATAATACAACTACAGCATTACCCTTGTCTATTCTTTCTGTTACCCCTTCAAATAATTCAATGAGGTTAAGCATAACCTTCCTTTTTGAAATCTGTGCTGACTATTCTTCATTATGTTTTCCATTTCCAGATGTTTTTCTATTACCTCCTTCAGTAAGGATTCCACCAATGTTAAGCTGACAGTTCTATAGTTCCTTGGGCTTGTTCTGTCTCCCTTTTTAAATATAGGTATAACATTAGGATCCTCCAGTTCTCTGGCACTACTCCCTTTTCTAATAAATTATTATATATGTGTAATAGTGCCTCTGCTATCTCTTCCCTCGATTCTTTTAACATATGCGGATGCAATCCATCTGGACCAGGGGTATTGTCCTCTCTGAGTTTTGTTAATTTTTCGATTATATCTCCCCTTTGTATCTTAAATGTATTTATATTATTTTCGATCTCTTCTTCTACTGTCATGTCCACCTGATGCATCTCCCTGGTGAATACTGAGACAAAGTAATTATTTAATATTTCTGCCATTTCGCTGTCGGGGCCTGTGAGCTTATCTTGTCCATCCCTTAGTGGCCCTATTCCTATTTGGATTTTTCTTTTATTATTTATGTCTGTAGAATATTTTACTATTTCTTTTTATATTCCTTGATAATTTAATTCATAATTCCTCTTTGCCTTCCTAATTATTTTTTTGACTATTTTCTTGACCTCTTCGTATTCTTTTTTGTCATGCTCTCCCTTGTTGTTTACGTACTTAGTGAACATCTCTTTCCTGAGTCTCAACTTTGCCCTTATGTCTTTATTCATCCATTATTATTTAGCTTGGTCTTGCTTTTTAGCGGAATATATTTATCCTGGGCTCTATTGATCACTGTTTTAAATGTTTCCCACTGCTGCTATATCTCTTTGTTTGCCAATATTGCTTTCCAGTTTATTTTCCCAAGGTCCATTCTCATCCCCTCAAAATCAGCTTTTTTCGAATCTAATACCCTGGTCTTTGTCATACTCGTGTCCTTCTCAATCTTTATCTTAAACCTTATTAAGCTATGATCACTATTGCCTAGACGTTCCCCATCTCATACTTCTCTTATCTGTTCTGGTTCAATTCCCATTACTAAATCCAGCAGGGATTCCTCCCTTGTTGGACCTCTTACATACTGGGTAAGAAAGGAGTCCTGTACACATTGAAGGAACTCCATTCTCTTATCCCCTTTATCTACCTCTTCTAGCCAATTTATTTGGGGGTAGTTGAAATCCCCCATGATTATTACTCTATGTCTTTTACTCATTTCCCCAATTTGTACACTGTCCAGCGCCTTAGGACGTCCTCCCAACATGAAAGGCGCTATACAAATCTAATCTTGTTGTTGTTGTTGCTTGCACATTTCTTCCTCTACCTTCCTTCCACTGTTAGGTAGTCTGTAGAGTACCCCTATTTGTTGATTGATCCCTTCTTATCTTTTATCTCTATCCACAAAGATTCTGTTTCTATCTTACTGTTGACTATGTCCCTTTTTTCTACTGCCATGAGGTTATCCCTAACGAGTACAGCCACTCCACCATCCTTTTTCTCATCTCTATCCTTTCTAAATACGTTATACCTGCAATGTTTAGTTGCCAGTCCTGTTCTTTTCATAGTCATATTTCACTAATCCTAATTATATCTGGTTCCTCACTACAAATTATCGCCTCCAGTTCTCCTGTTTTATTTTGGATGCTGTCTATGTTGCTGTTCGGACAGTTTAATTCATTATTATTAATTGTTCGTCTCATTTTATTTTTGACCGTCTTTTCACGCTACTGTTCTACAATTGTATTAATTCCCTGACCATTCTCCTTATTTTTTACTTTTGTCTGGCTTGAGTAATTTTCTTCTGATCCCTTCTCACCTTTTACTAGTTTAAAGCTTTTGCCACAGCCTTATTTATCCTTTCCGCTAGGATTTTGGTCCCCTTTGTACCTCAAATCTAGTTAAACAGATTGGGAATTGATTCTGCATCCATCAGTCAGAGGTTATTCTTAGTAATCCGGAAAATATGCTGATTTCTGAACTGCAGGAAATTATTCAGTTTAAAAAAAAGATAAATCGCTCTGAGCAACAGGCCAAGTATCTGACAAATTCATTTGGGAATTACTGAGGTAGCTTCAGTTAAAATGACTGTAACCGCATTTAACAAAAGGCCAGTGTTGCAAATAAAAGCCCATTTATAATAATGGCAAGCAGAGGTCAGACTTATTCCTAAATCCATCCATCTATTTGCACTATAAAATGCCCAGGTTAAACAAATGTTGAATTAACGCCTGCATGAAGCAGACCACTCTCAGAGGCAGGCCCTTGTGTTGGAGTTCATTCAGCTGTGAAGGCGAATAGAAGCTACCTGCAGCTCCTGTTTCCTCACATGGGGCAAAATATTTTCTCTTGATGATCACATGTAAACACTGATGGTCGTTATGGGGGGGAAGGAAATGTTTTGAAATACACATTACAAGGGCTACTTTTATTTAGTACATACAGGCAGCTGGTACAGACGAGTCTATTGTGGGTTATTTTGCTGGCAACAAGACTGTGACAGCAGGTCTCATCATCATTGGTAAAAGAATCAATTGGGAATCTTAGTTCGAAATCAGCCTGTTACTGGCACTGGGCTGTGAGTTGTGAAACTGCTAAAACAAAATATATCTCAGAGATGGCATTGCTAATGACACTGCTGATTAACCAAATGAGCTCTTTAGCTAATAAGCTAATAATGCATTATTGGGCAAAATGATAATCCTTGCATTTAATATAGGGCCTTAACATTGAAAGATCATAACGTGCTTACAGTTAGGTAATTATTGTCAAATGTAGTGACTTTTTTGTACACTGGCAAAATATCGTTTAGCTCAGTTTCTAAATCCTACCTAGTATCTCAGTCATTTGCAGAGCTGCCAGTTGTACAGGTTAGCAATCACTGGTTATCTGGCATGTTTGTGGGTGGGTGGGTGGGAGAGGGAGAGAGAGAGAGGGGGTGGGGTACTCTCACCCTCTTCATAGTGTAACAGGATTGATCTACCAATTGATGCATTGGTCATTTTCAATCCACGACTGTTTGTGGGACGCTGCTGTGCGCAATTGGCTGCCGCGTTCGCCCACAAATATACAGTCAATTCACTTTACAGTGTGTTCTGTGAAGCGCTTTGGGACATCCTCCCAACGTGAAAAGCGCTATATCAAATGCAAGGATTATTATTATTATTATTGGACAGTTCTGAGTGGAGCCAGTAGATGGTGCACAGTGTTACCAGCTGAAACTCAGAAGTAAAGGCACAAGCTTGATGATCATGGAGCGAGATGGATGGGATATGTAGAGAGAGAGAGACACACACACAGATCAAGCCCAAAACGAAGACTACACTCATTCATCCTTCCCAACTTTAAGGATGCAGGAAAGATGCAACTGACGACCTGAAAAGTGGAAACCTCAAGGGTAGGGCAAGGGCTCTGTTATTACTGTTCTCTTTTTAAGGTGCCTATTTCTAGTAAGATGCAGCTACATGTGTATTTAATTTGAAAAAAATCTGCTGTTTGCTTTTACGCGAACATAATACGAACGAGTAAAATTATAGAGTCAGAAATATAGCTTTTTTTCTTAAAAAAAACTGTGAGTTAGTTGCAATTGCTTTCATTTTTGTCCATTGCCCTGAACTTTAATGTTCAGGGCAGGCAATGGATTGCTGAGGCTACAGAGAAGTACGTTTCTTCTCTCTCTCCTAATAGTTATAAAGTACAAAACTGATTAAATACAAATTTATTTTGAGGTGATGGATCTCAGTATCAATCAGCACAGAGTTTATTCCAGAATTTGGCAGGTTGATGCAGGACTGACTATTTTCCCAGGTCAGAAGCATCCTGATCTGTGTCTAGCAGTCTCAGTTGTTGTTCCATGAGATTCCCTATGGATTTTCCCGTATCTATTGTCTGCCAAGTGTGAGATTGGACTTCTGAAATTCTGTGAGATAAATTGAATTTTTCCCCCCCTCCCCCAGCAATCCTCATGTGGGAGACAAAGCAATGCTTCACACAGATAGTGAGTGTGCAGTATCCTATCCTTGTCTGGATTGCCCAGTTGGGCATCTGAATAGAACATATTTCAATAAGATTAAGATGTATTGAAGGAAGGCTCTCTATTATCGATACATACATTTTCTTCAACGTTGTACTTTTCATGCAGTATAAGTCGTAACTTAGTGACAGAGGGAATGGCAAGACAAAAAGCTAGCAATGTAGCATCAATGGGAAGAGAACAAATAAACCTCTTACCCCCCATCCACCCCACTACCAACCATCAATGATTCTACCTCAGAATCTTTGTCCTGGGTAACAGAGAAACAGGAACCAGAGGAGGTTATTCAGCTATTATGTTAATATACAATTTAACAGATCTTTCAATCCCAATCATTTGCCCTCTTGCCACGCTGTTTAACACCTCTACTGTATATATGTATTTTACTTGCTTGCTTGCTTTCGTTCTTTCTTGTTTTCTTTCTTTCCAATACATGGCATTGACAGTCTAACTTGTGTCTGGTCTATGAAAGGTGCAGCATTTTCCATTCTTTGATGGAGGGAACAGTTCTTGAAGAAAAGATCTGTGCTCAGCACTGCACATGAAGCCTGCTCTGTATCTAGTTTAGGAATTCACCTGGGTTTAGATTTATTCTATTTGTGTAGCATTTGACAAATTGTTGAATTCAGGCTAATCTTTGAACCCGGGTTTTCTGTACTTCTGAAAGAGCTTATAGAAAATTGGCTTCGAAATTGAAGCTTATATTTGAGAACTTGCTAAATGCTGAACACTCGGAAATGCTACATAAATAAAATAAATCTAGATCCGGGTGGTTTTTTGAACCCCAGGTTTTTATCTGTTGCAGAACTGTGTTTTATTGAGAGAAATTCCACCTGGGTCTAGATTTACTTTAATTCATGTAGCATAACAGAGTGTTGTATTTGGCAAATTCTTAAAATACAGCTTTACAGTTTCTTTTTAAATTCAACAATTTGCCAAATTCTGGATGCTCTAAATTGCTACACAAATAGAGTATATCCAGAACTCAGGTAGAAATTCTACCAATATGTTCTGTATTGTCCCAGCCACCAACACCTCTAAACTCTACCTTTGATGAGCTTTGTGGTTAAGGCAAACAAAACCTTTCAAAATAAGCTATGAAATTAATGGAGCTAACGACCTGAGCACTGGATTGATGGTTCTGTTATTGTTTCTTTGCCTATGTTGCGTATTCCCCAGTTATAAACAGCTACAGGTTGCATGCGTATTTAATATAGAAGATAATGTGTTGATATCACAGCTGCTTAGATGCATATTATATCTCAATCCTTCTCTGCTCTCCCTCCTGCCTTGCTTGACAACTGACCCCATCTTTGTGAAGCACTCTGAGACTCCTATCCGATATGAAAACTGTTATTTAGGTGTCAAATAAATCTGTTCGGTGGACACTGGCCTGCTTCAGGTCCCCCGCATTTCCCTCCCCACCTTTGGCGGTCGAGCATTCAGCATCTCTGCGCCCACACTCTGGAAATCTATCCCATAATCCTTCCACTTCACACCCTCTCTTGCCTCCTTCAAGTCCTGTCTGTAGATCATTGATCATGCCTTTGGCCACCCTGCCCCCACCCACCACCCCAACCCTCGCCTTCCTCCCTTTCTGAACCCAAAGCAGCTTGGGTCCAAAACTCCTGATTGGCCAGTGCCCCAGGACATCTTTCCGACCTGAAGGGTGCTCTGCAAGTGTAATTTGTTGTTGTCAACTTGGCTCAGTTGGCAGCACTCTCACTTTTGAGTCAGAAGGTTGTGGGTTCAAGCCCACATTGAGACTTGATTGCACAAGTCTTGGCTGATAGTCCAATGCAATAAATGGGGTGTTCTGCAGTGTCGAAGATGCCGTCCTTCAGACGATTCGTTAAGCCAAGGTCCCATCTGCCTATTCAGGTTGACATTAAAGATTATCATGCCACTATTCGAAAGGAGAAGGGAGTTTCTCCAAATAAAATTGTCATTTCATAGAAATTTGTAGCACATCGCTTGGCACCACATAGCTGCTGCGTTTGCCTACAAAATCAGTCACTACAACTTTAAAGTGTATCCTATGAAGCGCTTTGAGACATCCTCCCAACATGAAAGGTGTTATACCAAATGTAAGAATTTTTCTTTTATTACTTATTTTAATGCTGAAAATCCCAGTGTCCGTGTGCTTATTATTGTTATTCCTTGTCCGTCATGCCCATGATAATAATAATAATGATAATAATAAATGATAATAATCCTTGGATTTGATGTAGCACCTTATCATGTTTTCGAGACGTCTCAAAGTACTTCACAGAATATACTGTATTTTGTGGACGAAACGCGGCAGCCAATTGCACACAGCAGCGTCCCACAAACAGTTGTGGATTGAGTGACCAAATTATTTTAATTTTATTATACTTTTGAAGGGATTATTAACCCCGGATAAACGATCCGCCAATCAACTATGATGAACTGCACAAATGGCTAACATTTCCTCACTTGCATCCAATGTAGCAACTCCATCCCTAGCATTTACGAGCTGCTAGAAATAACCGCAATTGACCGCTGGCAGAACTATATTTACCATCCCTGTTATTCAAGTTACCACACTCCACTGAGCCCAGCATAATTCCCAAAATAGCTGTACGAATAGCTGTGGTAATGCTTATGCAGAAATGATTACATATAAGATAATGTGTGCCTTGGAGCGGGGTTACTGGCCGCTGACATAATAATAATTCTTTAATTTGATATAGCGCCTTATCATATCTTCTAGATGTCTCAAAGCACTTCACAGAACATACTGTAAAGTGAATTGACTGCATGTTTTGTGGGCGAAACGCAGCAGCCAATTGTGCACAGCAGTGTCCCACAGACAGTCGTGGATTAAGTGACTAAATTATTATTATTTTTTTGAAGGAATTATTACCCCCAGAAAAGCGATCCACCAATCGACTAACAACCGGGTTCCTACTCACTGCTAGGTAAAAACATAGACACGTGGAGGAAGGAAATTTGCCCAACATTTCGCTCTCTGGGGAATCGCTTGTGGTCTTTTGCTTGCGAGGTGAAGCTCTAACCATTGAGCTATAGGACTGCACTGAGGAGTTCAAATCAGATCACTGTCCATCAATCTGTTTTGCAAATTGCTATTTGGGAGGTTTAAGTCCCAACACTAATATTTGACTGAACCATAGAGCAAAGGCTTGACTACTATTTCAGTCCAATCAGTGGGGTTCAGTATATGGGTTTCTTTTCACTTAAAACTGTTGTGTTAATTTTTTCCCATGCAAATTTACATTGTGTGATCATGATGACAATGTAACTGGTCCAAGGCAACACAACAGGGAGAGAAAGGGTGAGAGAGCGAAAGAAATTCCAACTGGTTCTAAATTTATTCTATTTATACAGCATTTGGGGAGCACAGAATTTGGCAGTCGTAATTTTGAAGCTGGTTTTCTGCAGTTTCTAACAGATCTTATGGAAAATTGCCTAAAAATAAAGGTTGTGTTTAAGAATTTGTGAAATTCTGAACGTTCTCTTCATGCTAAGATCATGCTAAGATAATAAAAGTAAATCTAGACCCAGCTCGAATTTCTACCTGAAATTCTTCTGTTTGCCTTATTCTATTGGTTAGTGTGTGAATTTTCGGCGAGGATAGGATTAGGGCTCAGCTGTGGTGATGCCCCATGATCTAGTGGTCTGTCAACACTGCCTGTGAGAACTCATGTATGAATCATGGCCATTGAGTTGGGTTACCAGAGGGTGCCTGTGAAATCGTAACCCGGCAGAAAGATAAAATGAGGTAAACACCTTGAGGAGGGAAGTGCGTCGGGGTGGGGAGAATGGGAATTACACTAAATTGTCTTCTGCTGGATTAGTGGATTAGAAACGTCTCCTCTGGAACCTTAAAGGATTTAAGAACGTAATAATGTGCTTGGCGAAAGAACTTTAAGGTCCATCTAGTTCGCCTTCCACCATCCTCGCAAACACATGTCATGACCCAAACTATATATTGTATCCGAGATATTATTTCCTAATAGAAATCTATCTTAATTTATTCTTGAAAGAATCAACACCTCCTGCTTCCACTATCTCCCTAGAGAGCCTGTTCCATACGTTTACAACTTGCTCACTGAAGTAGTATTTCCGCAATTTGTTCTGAATTTACCTTCCTTCAGTGGCATGCCGTATCCTCTGGTTCTACTTTCTGGACAAGATAAAACATTTGATCATGGTCCACAACATACTTCATACATGTATTAAATAGAATGGATTTTTCACCTCTTGAGCAGCATCTAAATAGCAGAGTACTAGCGTAGCACAAAAAGCGCCTGAACTTTTTTCTTTGTCTCATTCTATCACGCACACACGTGCTTTTTTGAAGCAATTGCCCCATTACCTTGACTAAATGAGCCATAAGGCTCTCTGCGTCACACCATCTCCCAGGCGATTACTTGTATTTCCCTATAAATCGAGTTTGAGAGCTTGTTGGAGCATGACCCCAGTGTTTTCATGTCCCATGACAGCCCTAGAAAGATCACCTTCATGTTTGAGCTGAGACAGTGGCTGTATTTCAGAAATTCACAAAACTCACAAGTCATTGAGCATAGATTATAATGATGTTGAACAAGAAAAATAAATTATAATGCGTGTAATTAAATCACTCTCTCGTGTCGTGGCTTTCCCAACACCATTCCCAATGAGTTTTGTCTTTAGAACCAGTCCACATCTCTTTACTTTGTGTCACTTGAGATTTTGTTCAATTTAGCTTCACGGTAGCAGTATGACAAGAAAGGAATATTCAGAATTTTCTTCAAATCATCACAGAATATACTTAGTGCTTATTGAACGTTCATTCCAACCAATAACTTGGGTCTGAAAGGCTGAAAGTATGAATGGCATTGAACTTTATTAAACTTCGAAGGATTGCTAGGGAGTTTCAGATGAAGAAGATTCTTCAGTCTATTTGATCTCATCCTTCCAGAATATCCACCCTATCATCTGCCCATCGCAGTATCAAACTATTTCTTAAATGAGTCCAGTGCTCTGACCAATCCTTCCCAGTAACCCATTCCAGCTGCCAATTACTCCTTGTCTAAAGAACTAAAACTTACCTTTGCGGCACTGAATCTATAAAACAGAGATTTTTGGCTCAGGCAGAAGCTATTCAGCCCATCATATCTCTATCTCTGCTTCCTGCTTGTTTTTAAGTCACCCTTTGTATTAATCCCATTTCCCAGCTCTTTCATTTGTGCTTTCTTGCTTTGCTGCCTTGAAGTAATTCAAAGTATTCTTCTGGGTTTACTTGTTATCTACACAACAATAAAAACAACGACTTGCATTTATATAGCATCTCTTAAGCAGGGTAGCATCCCAGAATGCTTTATCCCATTTAACTCTAATACTCTATCCTGTTTAACATGCCATGCTGAAAGATGTGATGTCAAATGCAAGGATTAGAATTATTTTATTTTATATACCTATTGCTAAACTGAGGATATTACATAAGTTTTATTTTAAACTTGTGAGACCAGAAGGATTTTCTTTTCTCAAAATACTGCACTTGGCTGTTGTGAAGGTGGAAACCAGTTTGAGCAAAGTTATGTTGACAGTCACCAGATAATAGTTGGCTGAATTTCGGGCGGTGGGGGTGCTGAGTGAGTACAAACAGGATACTCATAAAGGGAGTCACAACTGGGAAGAAGTTGCAAATAACATTTGCTGGTATGTCACACTGACCCCTAGGAACTCTGGAAGTAGATTGCATCAGTGTGATTTCCTTCAGGTCAGCATGATGCACTTCATTACGGTCAGCAAATACTCTTGAGTCGTTATTTACAACAGGTTCCCTGGGGAGCCTATTCTGTTATGAAATAATATCTCAGGATACAGTATATAGTTTGGGATATGACATGTGCATGTGATTGCCATAAGAATAATAATATTGTATTTGATACAGCGTTCTCATTTCGTTGAGACGTCTCAAAGCGCTTCACAGAATATGCTGTGAAGTGAATTGACTGTATATTTTGTGGGTGAAACAATGGTGGAAGGTGAACTGGATGGAACTTTGTCTTCTTTCGCCTAGTAAATTCTTATGCTCTTACAACTTCAGGATAGAAATCCCAGTTTGTCTTTTTTTATCTACAGCACCACTTTACTAAATATCATGCAAAACATTAACATGCTATCACATAATGTTGAATTCAGAAAAGGTAGCACTCTCGCCTCTGAGTCAGGAGTTTGTGGGTTCAAAGTCCCAAGTTGGGTCCACGACAAGTCTGCTTCACCCGCCTCCCCGCAGATAGTCTTTGAGTGACGTCAGCAATGGTCATGGAGAAATTCATGGCCTTGACTGTCCCATGTTTCCACTGAAGGAGGTCGTGTGTAGAGGTGAGTGGCTTTAATTGGGTGGGGGGATAACAAAAGAGGGAAGAGAAAGCTGAGGACAATTTTTTTTTAAAAAAAGTTTTTTTTTACATTTCCAAACTTACAAGTTTACTATACATACAGAATTCATGCCTTTTGTTTTTCCTCAAAGGTACCTGTCAATATGGAGCCAGGATGAATGGTATTTCCATCACCTTTTGGACCGTGCTGTCAACTCGTTCTGAGATGGAAGACTTCAAAGGAAAATCGTTGTTCATCTCTCAAAGTTTCTACAACAGAGTCAGCCCCCACCATTACAGAGACAAGCAAAAAGGCTCAGACCTTCGTCTCTAAGCTAACTCTTGTGGAAGCTGAACAGTCTGATTTACTGAAGGCATTGGGAGAAGAGGACTGTACGATGGGGGGGCACCACTATGGACTCTTAATCCTCGGATTTACTCTTCTTCAGTCTTACTGTGTTTCGGAATATGGTCCCAACCAAAGGGCACAGAAAAAGGGAGACATTATACTCGGAGGTCTCTTCCCAATACATTTTGGAGTAACTGCCAAGGATCAAGACTTAAAATCTAGACCAGAAATGACTAAGTGCTTTAGGTAGGACTTTTAAACACCACAATCTTTCTCCATATGAAATGTTTACAAATTTGTTGTTTTGCATGTGTTAGGAATATTGTGAGTGGTTTTGGGAACCCAACCTTCAAAAAGAGTTGAAGTGTCTTACGGAGTAGTCAGGAAGTATGGTTAGATCAGAACACTAGATTCATTTAAAAAAAAACTCAACGTTGTGATGGAATGATGGTAGGATGTACACTGGAGGGATGAGATGAGCTGAAAGGTCTTCTTGATCCTCACTAGTATTGTGAAAAGCCAAATGGGAAGTTTTTTAAAATGGCACCAGGTAATGTACTAATGATAATAATAATCCTTGCATTTGATATAGCGCCTTATCACATTGTTGAGACGTCTCAAAGTGCTTTACAGAATATATTGTAATGTGAATTGATTGTATATTTTGAGGTTATAGTGCTAAGGACAATTTCTGCCTGAGAGCACAGGTGGGTTGTCTAGCGAGAGGATGAGTATTGGCCAAGAAGCACAGAGGCTACAGGAGCCACACAACTCACAGCATTAGATTACGTGGTTCTTGCGGAGAAAATGGGCCAAATGGACTATTTCTGTGCTGTAATAATAATAAAATTCCTTGCATTTGATATAGAGCCTTATCACATCATCAAGACAATTACATGCAGCAGTCTCACACCAACAGTTGTAACATGATATAATAATATGATGATAATAATGACCCTTGCATCTGATATAGCGCCTGATCACGTCATCGAGACAACTCAAAGCGCTTCACAGAATATATTGCAAAGTGGATTGATTGTGTATTTTGTGGGCAAAACACGGCAGCCAATGTAATTCTAGAGCTGCAAGAGCAGTACCCAGCCAGCACAGCTTTACCAGTGGGTTTGCCTGTTTTTTTTTCCAATCAGCAATTGGGCATTAATATTTTCACATGGAGATACTTAAAAAACATTCATGTGAAAACAGTAACTCAAGTTATTTTGTACTTACAGTCACAGTCCTGCTGTTTGACATCTCCTTTTACCATTTGCCACAACTGACCCTTTCTTCCAGCCATGATAAAAAAACTACAGTTAGGCTAGGCTGCAAGATGCAATGAAATGAATGTCACTTTATTAAGCTATGGAGTGCTAGACTTGTCAATGATTAATTCGCTTTGCTCTACTGTTTGCCCTTGTGTGTCACTGTGAACTGCTCCGCGTTGCTTGTGTATTCATTTGTCTTACTAAGTACTGTACTTCCCTGGTTCAAGGAGCTGCACTGGCTGAAGACTGTAGTGTAAGGTACAGGCGTACCACAGGCAACTAAACCTGCAGCAATATGAGGCTACTCTGGTTTGGCAGTTTCTGTGGTTTGGGTGCTCTTAAAGGTGACACCATTTGCACCTTGTGTAGGAATGAAGGACTTTCACACCTGAAGACTTTCCTCTTCGACTGTACCCCCAGTCACCCCAAACCCCTTCCCAGCTCGAGGTCAACACATCCTGCTGTTAAATGCTCCATGATGCTACTTGAGTGAAGGGCGCTGTGTAAATGTAAGTTGTTGTTGTTGTTGGCTATGAGTTGGGATGGAGACGCAGCTGACATCAATGCCAGCAACCCACGCATGTCTCTCTCTGTTGGAGGTTATCTTCTGAAGATTCCCACTAGTTGTGAGCAAGCATGGAACATTATCCCCATTCTCGCCTGCCTGCCTGCCTGGCTTCCTGGTACCTCAGTGGCTCGACTTCAAGATCATCTATGATCTTATTTGACAAATTGAAATCAAAGCAAGTTGAAGCCAGCCATGACTCCATTTAGGAGTTTTACAATGCAGCACAGTGTGAGGGTTCATGAAAGAGATTCCTGCTCTGAATTTATTGTTGCCATATCTTCAACATAAAATTGCGATACTGTACACATAACTGCTTCTCCATATCATTCATTGTGGGCGAATGGATGACAGATGTTAGCACAGAATATCTGCGCTGGATTCCTCTATAAAACTCAAATCACTGTCTAATGATGTCCCAATGGAAGAATGTAACTATTAGAATAATTTAATTGCGTTTTTTCCCCATGTGCTGGCCAACAACCCTCAAGTTTAAAAATTAGTCATTTACTTTGTGGCTGTTTGTAGGACAATGCTGTGTACAAATGGTTTACCACGTTTGCCTACAAAAATACACCACCTCTATACATTAGAATAAATACTGTGAAGCACTTTGAGATGTTTTGATGAAGTGATAAGGTGCTATATGAAATGCAGGGATTATTTATGTACTCACATCACCATGATGAAGATTTTTATCGCTTCAAGGAGATCAGGTCATGATGAAGAGGCAGGGATTTAATGATAACAGTCTTACAGTGGAGTCACTTGGCAATTTGCTCGTAAACAGATTGCACTTAAATCTAATATTTATTTCTAACCTGTTCTTATAATTTTATTTATGTGGCGCAAACAAGGGGTCTGGGAATGTGATTGTATCAAGCTTGTCCAATTGATCCTAAATTACTCATAACTTTGTTATTCATGAGTTTGTGACTCACACATGAGCAATAAATCGTAGTTCACAGCTCTTCGTCTTGTAGGTAATCTGGATATAATTTAGATTCATACCAGGTTATGTGGTCAAACAGAGGTCTAGCCAAGGTCTTTCCTAAGATGTAGTAAAGTCTTCTCTTTGGTTTACTGAACTGAGATTGGGTCACATTGTAATTTAAAAGGTCATGGAGATTTGAATAATGTCACACTAAATGAGTGAGTAACTCTTTGAACTTAACCTCTCGTCTGGCCACCCCATTCCCAGTTACAGAAGAGGCAATGCTGTTACCACATACAATGGTTCACAGATTATGTTGTGCTATAGACTATTGAGCTAGAATTGCGATTTTACAGTTATGATATAATTTACCACAATTAATCTGAGATCTCACGGAGCCTGATTTCCATTTATTGAGGTTCAATTGAGATTTCACTGTTTTTTGGGGCTGTTAAAACTTGAAGTTGGTGTCATAGAATCATATAGCACAAAAGGAGGCCATTCAGCCCATCATGCCTGTGCCAGCTCTTTGAAAGAGCTATCCAACTAAATCTAATAGTTTTTTCTTGACTTATCCCAGTTCTCTCTGCTTCTCGTTTTAAACTTCCCTGTGCTTTTTTTAAAAAATTGTTAATGTTTTGTTAAGGCTCTGCATCAAATGCAAGAGATTATAGTTTTTTTTATATAATATTCACTTTTTTTTACTAGAAGTAGCAAACACCAGCGTTCTGTCATGGCCAGTGTATTTTACAGTGTAAATTTATACTGAATACATTGAACATTACATAGTTTTTTTTTAAACAAAAATCTAAAGGAGATATTTTATAAAAATGGACTGATGTTTTCTTACAGAATGTGTTGAAAAAATAGGTGGTGGTCATAATATTACCCAGATAAATTAATACTCTACTGGTGCTTGACAGTACTGTAATTCCTTGCCAATAATCTGGTAGGTCTTAAATGTTAAGGCAATTGTCATAAGGCTAATAGGATGGAGACTTCTGGGTGTCTGATGTACTTTTCTTTAAAAAATAATAATTGGCCTTATTTTTTTCTGACTGTTGTTTTTAATGGATTGCAGGTTCCGAATCATTGTACTGTTCATCCCAGTTATGCACTTGTATGTGGAGTCCTGCAACTCAGTGGTTAGAGCTCTCGCCTAACAAACGAGAGACCTAGGTTTGATTCTCGGCAGGGCAAAACATTGGGCAAGTTTCTTTACTCCACACGTCACTGTTTACCTAGCAGCAAAAAGGAACCCGGTTGTTAGTCGATTGGTGGATCGCTTTTCCAGGGGTAATAATTTCTTCAAAAAAAAAAAAATTGGTCACTCCACCTATGACTGTTTGTGGGACACTCCTGTGCGCAATTGGCTGCCAGGTTTCGTCCACAAAATATACAGTCAATTCACTTTACAGTATATTCTGTGAAGCCCTTTGAGACATCTCAAAGATGTGATAAGGAGCTATATCAAATGCAAGGATTATTATTATTGTTGTATCTTTCCTGTTTAAAGGGAAAGTTGTAATACAGGATGACTCCATTATATTCAGGTAAAAAACAGATAACAATGTAATTAAGCTAAATTATATTTTTGTTAACAGGTATAATTTTAGAGGATTTCGGTGGTTGCAGGCAATGATATTTGCAATTGAGGAGATCAACAACAGCATGGCATTTCTGCCAAATATCACCCTCGGATACAGGATATTCGATACTTGCAACACAGTGTCCAAAGCTCTAGAAGCAACTTTGAGCTTTGTAGCTCAGAACAAAATAGACTCACTGAATCTGGATGAGTTCTGCAACTGCTCTGATCACATTCCATCAACCATAGCAGTCGTGGGAGCAACGGGATCAGGGATTTCTACTGCTGTAGCCAACCTACTGGGTCTATTTTACATTCCACAGGTCAGTACGATGAAGTGACAATGAGCTGTAGGCTAGTTTTGTAAGTACTGTGGAAATAAGTACATAGAGTCAACATGGGTGTGTCTATTTGTGTGTGTGTACAAATAGATGTGTGTCTGTGTGTTTCAATGTGTGTTTTTGTATAGGCACGTAGATGAGGGCAACTCCAGTTGGGGAGCATTGCACTGTCCGAGGTTCTAATCTTCAGATTGGAGATTAAACTGAACAACAACAGCTTGTGTTTATATAGCGCTATTCGTTTATAGGATAGCATCCCATCTGCCTGTTCAATTGGATATTAAAAATCCCATGACACTATTCATAAAGAGAAGGAAAATTGCCCTTGTGTCCTGACCAACGATACTCCAGTTCAAATCATGAAGACTTGACGGAACGAATTAGTTCTTACAGTCACTATCGGATTCTTCCAATGGGTTTGTTAAACAAAATTGCTTGCGGTTACAGTAATTTGCAAACAACCTTTTTCCCCCAAATTTGCTGGAAATTCAGGTTGGGGGCTTTCAGAAGTTTTAGCAGTTAGAGGAAGGACGGTGGTTTAACAATGTGTCATTTCTATTAAAAGGTCAGCTACGCCTCTTCGAGCAGGCTGTTGAGCAACAAGAATCAATACAAGTCTTTCCTTCGTACAATCCCCAATGATGAACAGCAGGCCACCGCAATGGCTGACATCATCCAGCATTTCCAATGGAACTGGGTGGGAACTCTAGCAGCCGACGATGATTACGGCCGCCCAGGGATAGAGAAGTTTCGAGAAGAGGCAGAAGAGAGAGACATCTGCATAGACTTCAGTGAGCTGATTTCTCAATACTACACACAAGAGGAGCTGCAGCATGTCGCAGAGGTCATTCAGAATTCCACGGCCAAGGTCATTGTCGTGTTTTCAAGCGGCCCCGACTTGGAGCCCATTATACAGGAGATTGTTCGGCGAAACATCACCGGGAGGATCTGGCTGGCGAGCGAAGCGTGGGCTAGCTCCTCGCTGATAGCCAAACCCGAGTATTTCCACGTCGTAGGCGGAACCATCGGATTTGCCCTCAGAGCAGGACACATCCCGGGATTCTACGAGTTTTTACAGCGGGTGCATCCCAGCAGGTCCTCAGACAACGGGTTTGTGAAGGAGTTCTGGGAAGAGACGTTTAAGTGTTACCTGACGGAAAAATCTCTGACGCAACTAAAGCAGTCCAAAACACCTGGCCACGACGGCAGCACTGTAGTGGGGAATATCACAAGTTCAAAGTTACTGCCTCCGTGCACAGGGGATGAGAATATCATGAGTGTTGAGACCCCTTACCTGGATTATACTCACATGCGTATCTCATATAACGTATACATGGCAGTGTATTCCATTGCACATGCGCTGCAAGATATCTACACCTGCACACCTGGGAAGGGCATCTTTGAAAATGGATCGTGCGCTGACATAAAGAAAGTTGAAGCTTGGCAGGTAATTGAAAACATCTTTTTAAGTCCAAGCTACCTGACTATCTAACCCAGAGCTGCGTAGCATCATACTAGTTGAATGGCCCACTGTGCTTTTACCTCTGGAGACCTTGTCCATCACAAACTGATGGTGTGGTGTGGAAATCTCTTGGCTGTAATTGCTAAACAATCTCATCCTTTTCCCAATGGATCATAGAATCATCGACATTTTAGGGCAGAATGGAGGAATTCACCTCAGCCGTGCTAGTGTGTACCATGCTAGCTCCTCCTCATCAGCTCGCTTTCCTGCAGAGAGCTGCCTAGTCTAATTCATTTCCTTGCCCTATCCCCGCATGCTTCTAAGTTTTTATTCTTCAAGTATTTGTCTTATTTATGTTTAAAGGAAGTAATTGACTTGGTTCCAATAGCCACAGTAGACATCTACCCATAATCTGGCAGCCATGCCATTGAATTGTCACTCGCTCTCATGAGGATATTTGGTGTGTAAAGAGAAATCCCCTTAGTTCAGGCTAGGGAACTCTTCTGTGGTAGGAGCTAGGAATTTTAGGTGCTCTTCTGCTCAACTGCTCTACATAATAATAATAATAAATATATTGATGTACGTTTATAAGGCTGAAGTCTTAACCTGTAAGACTAAAACATTTTACCTTAAAATTGCAGATTGTGCAGAACTGTGGAAACTTCTTTAATTCAGTCTTAATTAGGAAGTCACTTTTCTGCACCACTTAAAACGAACCAGCTTCCAAATGTAAAGGTAAATTTCAACACAAAATGGTCTTGCAGACCAAGACTGACACCAGTTTCAAGCAAAAAGTGAGAAACCCTATTGTAATCGCACTGATCCATGGCACCTGGCATTGAATTCATCAGCAGAAAGCATCAACGTATTTCAGAGGAAACTTGATGCATGAACGACTGAGGGGATTAGAGAAGAGGGGTGTGGGAGAAGGGATAAGAAAAGGTTAGGCTCATGTGGATTACATGTTATTTAAAAATCAAATACTTGCTAAACAAAATAAATTCTTCCTTAAGAATCCTTCCTTACAAAACTGACTCGTACAGTAACAGGAACATCTAAGTACAAGGCTTCTTCACCTTGTGATCTTGTGAAGTGTTTTATATTCTTAAAAAGAGAAGAATGATTTTAGCTCCTGCTGTGGCTTCCTGGGTAAATGCTTGCTTTTCCTGGTATGGTACCACATCATCCATATTAGATAGCTGATCTATTTTGAGAACATTGATCAGTCAAAGCAGCAGTAGGGGCACAACAAAAGCAACAATTTACATTTACAGGATGACCCTGTTATCATGTGCGTCCCCCAGAGAATTTCTTCATGTCTCCCACAGGCAGCTGGTCAGACACAAATGATCTTGTGAGTGTTTCTTGCACTAGTTTCTAGCCTGCTGGAGATGGCCACAAGAAGCTGGAGCCTTCAATGGCAACCTGATAACTCGGAAGTGGACCAGTGGCTGTTTATTTCATGAATCAGTTATTAGTTGAGTGTTAAATGTTATGGACCCAAGGCACTGTGCTATAATCGGGGAGGGGGGTCTCCCTGTATGTAGAAACTTTCACATCCCAAAGAATGTCCCAAAGAAAGGGGAATAAATTGAAATTAAGCAAATGCCTTTATGTTGGCAATTGGCCTTGAGAGTTTCTGGGCTAGGGAAATCAGCTAGGGCTTGTACCATGAAGTGCAAAGTGTGCAGACAATGACAGCAGCAGGACTAGGCTTGGCTGTGATGCCCTCCTTGGACTGGACAGGCTGCTGGAGCTCAATGCCTCGGCTCACACCTGAAAAAATGGCCACTTGGTCAAGATACTGGGTGCTGCCAACACAGCTAAAGCACAGCCTAATCATGAGGAGTGGAAGAGAAGAAATTGTGAGGAAAATGGGTGATTAATTACGATGAATTGTTTGTATCTCTGCTTTAGGTCCTCAAACACCTCAAGCACCTGAAGTTTACAAACAGCATGGGTGAGCAGGTCGACTTCGATGATCAGGGCGATCTCAAAGGAAATTACACCATCATCAACTGGCAGCTGTCCTCTGAGGATCAATCCGTAGTCTTTCAAGAGGTTGGGAACTACAATGCATATGCTAAACCAGGGGAAAGACTCTACATAAATGAAAGCAAGGTGCTGTGGAGCGGATTCTCAAAAGTGGTATGAGATTGACTTCCATTCACTTTCACTGTGATCATTTTTGGACTTAAAAGTTTGTCTTTCACAACGTATGTTTACAAGGGGTTACACTGGTACGAAATATACAGTCAATTCACTTTACAGTATTTTCTGTGAAACCCTTTGAAACATCTCGAAGACATGATAAGGCGCTATATCAAATGTAAGGATTATTAGTACAACATCTATTTGCATTTGTGTAGCTTTATAATGATGAAGGGGGAGCTTGATCTGCGTGGGAGACACAAGTTGTGGGGGGGAGGTGGGGAGATGATAGGAGGTATAGTCAAAGAGATAGATCCTTAGAAGTGTTTGGAAAGCAAAGGAGGAATTTCAGAAGTGTTATGGACAGAGGTAGCAAAGTGGCTGAAAGCTCATCCGTTGGAGGTGAGTCAGAAGTGAGTTGAGGATTGAAAAAACAAGGGGATTTTGTAATAGGTCTATGAGTCGAATTGAGGTTGATGCAGTCATTATCAAAGATGAAGAAGCATGGGAGATAGGATAGAGCCTTGGATTGAAGAAATTGAAGAAAGTTAAGGGTCATTTAGGTCTTGAGATTTGATGGTTAGTAGGCTGCAACAGTGACCCTGGATTAAGTCCTTACGCGTGTAAACATCTGCAAAAAAAAAGCCTTGCTGATAACAATCCCTCTAGTCCAGGTGTAAGAACAATCCCTCTAGTCCAGGTTTAAGAACATGTGGCTAGAAAAGCTCATGTGGTGGAAACCATTTAAGATTCTGTTTCATGGTACTGACATTTCCCCACACAAATTTTGTGTCTGTGCCTAAATCTCTCATCCACACATTAAAGATGGAGCACAGATTGTGATCATAATTCATACATGCAACAATCCCCTGATCAGCCTACCTAAGACAATGTTCTGTCTGTATGTCAGCCTGGCACAGTGATTGCACTTTTGCCTATGAGTCAGAAGTTGTGGGTTCAAGCCCCAAGTCAGGACTTGGAATCATAAAGTCCAACTGACACTCCAATCCAGTGCTGGGGGAGATTGGATTGGTGGAGGTGCTGTCCTTTGGATGAGATATTAATCTAAGGTCCTGTCTGCAGATTCAGGTGGACATTAAAGAACCCATGGCACTATTCGAAAAGTGATGGGAGTTTCTCCCAGTGTCCTGGCTAAAAATCTTCCAAATAAAATTGTTCACTCACTCCATGGCTGTTTGTGGAACATTGGCGTGCACAAATTGGCTGCCACATTTTGTCCACAAAATTCACAGTCACTTTACAGTATATCCAGTGAAGCGAGATTTTGACAATATGATAAAATGCTATATCAAATGCAAGGATTATTACTTTCTGATTTTAATTAAAGCCCAATTACTGATAGGAGTAACATGACAGCCCCTGTGTTCATTTTGTTTTTGTTTGCCAACTTTCTCTACTTTTCTCCTCTTCTTTGAGGATGCAGTGTCTTGTTGGGTACTGTTTTACAAGGCCCAGCCAACCTCCAGTACATTACCTGAGTAACCATTCATCGAGTGTGAGCCGAGGAAGCTACTCAACTATGGGGGCATCACAACTCAGCCTAATGCTGTTCTCAGTCAATAGCAACACACATGCAGTTCCCAATAAGGGGTCAATGGACAGTAATTAGGAGAGAAATTATTGGCTGATTTTTGTCTTCCCAAACTCGTGAATACCAAAGCAAATTGATTGTCGCATCCCGAAAATTGATTGTCGCATCCCTACCGTTGCCCCAGCTAAGATCAGCTAACTCAGCACAAAACTACAACTCACCAGACCATTAGGGAGGTGTGTTAATCTTTTTTTCGAACTGGGAAGTAAGATAGAATAACAATGATGCTTTTTTGCCCAATGATTTAATTGTTAAATCTTCTGTCCAGTGGGTCCCAATCCATGCAGACCATAAGTGTTCTAGGTTCAATCCCTAGTCTGTGCTGAGATATCTGATTTTAGCAGCTATAGAAATAGAATATAGCATAATTGGACTCAGTGCCCCTGGTGAAATGGCCTGTTTACAATTACTGAGGAATTTTGATGCCTGAGTACTTGTGTTATGGCCTGTGTTAGTGCATTCAGAACAGTAGAGAAGTTAGTTACATTTGCAAAAAAAAGCAATGTTAACAACATGGTGAAGATAGCCATTGTGAATGCTATCAACCATTTGCAATTAGGTGTCTTTGACTGATGAAAATCGTTATGGTTTATGTATGTATGTGATGAAATCTGTCTGCAGCATTCAGTCCGTTAACAGACATAACTAATTCCATTTATGCTTCTAGGTGCCCTTCTCTAACTGCACTCACGATTGTATTCCCGGCACCAGGAAGGGAATAATTGAGGGAGAGCCCACCTGTTGTTTTGAATGTGTATCATGTGCTGAAGGAGAATACAGTGATGAAAATGGTAAGTAGCAATTGAAGATCACCACTGCTACAATATTGTGTGTGCCTGTAATTGAGATTGCTGTTCAGACAATATAGAGTACTACAGACAGTGCCTTGTCAACTGCTCATCATGTTTCTATTAGGTGAAATCCCATGTCTTACAACAACAACAGCAACTTGTCTTACCACCTATAATGGAGTATTCACCAATCCACTTTGCTAAGTTCTCTGTACCAATTTTCAGAATAAACAGTAAGAGTGTGAAAGTAAATCCCCTTTAGGATTGTAATCCCAGTTCCTATCCCTATGGGAATAGTCCAGCATCATTCAGTTTATTTCAGATGTTTCTTTAGATGAAGAAACATGTAGGCTGCACAGTATAACAGCTGACAGTAATTATTTCAGATCAACATTTTCATGTTTTCAGCTCAAAGAACTAATTATGTAACAGATGATTTCTTCTCTCAGATGTTAAACATTGAAATGTAAAATAGCGTATTAACTCAATCATTGGCACATGGAGGCTGCAGTCAAAGGTACTTTGGGAATTAAACCTGTGACTGTTTTATTTGGGAGTTAGATAGCTTGCTAATAGATAGCTTAGATAGTTCATACCGATTATCCATCTCAATATGAACTTTGATTGTCAGTAGATTCTTTTGGAAAGCTTACTTGATCCTAAGAAAAAAAATGATTGTTTCCTTTTCCTTTTTAGATGCAAGTGCATGCACCAAGTGTCCCAACGATTTTTGGTCCAATGAGAACCACACTTATTGCATAGAGAAGGAGATTGAATACCTGTCCTGGACTGAACCCTTTGGAATTGCTCTGACAATATTTGCTGTGCTAGGAACGGTGATGACCTTCTTTGTATTGGGAGTATTCATCAAGTTCAGAAACACACCTATTGTGAAGGCTACCAACAGAGAGCTCTCTTACCTTCTCCTCTTCTCCCTCATCTGCTGTTTCTCCAGTTCACTGATCTTCATTGGGGAGCCCAAAGATTGGACCTGCAGATTGCGCCAGCCTGCATTTGGAATCAGCTTTGTCTTGTGCATTTCTTGCATTCTGGTGAAGACCAACCGTGTGTTGTTAGTCTTTGAGGCCAAGATTCCGACCAGTCTCCATCGAAAGTGGGTGGGCCTCAACTTGCAATTCCTGCTGGTTTTTCTCTGTACCCTTGTTCAAATTGTTACCTGTGTCATCTGGCTTTACACAGCACCTCCTTCAAGCTACAGGAATCATGAACTGGAGGATGAAATAATTTTTATTACATGTGATGAAGGTTCCTTAATGGCACTTGGTTTTCTCATTGGCTACACATGCCTCCTGGCTGCCATTTGCTTCTTTTTTGCCTTTAAATCTCGCAAACTCCCAGAGAACTTCAATGAGGCCAAATTCATCACCTTCAGCATGTTGATATTTTTCATTGTCTGGATCTCATTCATTCCTGCTTACGTCAGCACTTATGGGAAATTTGTTTCGGCCGTAGAAGTTATTGCCATACTTGCATCAAGTTTTGGGTTACTTGGATGCATCTATTTTAACAAATGCTACATCATCTTGTTTAAGCCATCGAGGAACACCATTGAAGAGGTGAGGTGCAGCACTGCTGCCCATGCTTTTAAAGTGGCAGCCAGGGCCACTTTGCGGCGTACCACAATGTCTCGTAAGAGGTCCAACAGTGTTAGTGGCTCAACTGACTCCTCTCCATCATCTTCCGTTAGCAGCAAAATTGCCCATGATGAACCAATTGCTGTGGAAATGCAGACGTGCAGTAAGCAGAAAGTCAGCTTTGGCAGTGGCACTGTCACTTTGTCCCTCAGTTTTGAGGAAACAGGAAGATATGCATCAGTTAACAGGAACATGAGGAGGAGGAACTCAATGGAAGGCAAGAAAAGCGATGAAATTGTAATCAAGCACCATGCTCTGATTCCTCTTCAAACTCGCGAGACAGGAAATGACACATGTTGCAAGATGAAAGGAAACAATGGGTCAGAAACTCTTGAATCCCAGGATGGTAGCTATGAACATTCAGATTTACTGAAGAAATGTCCTCCAACCGTTTAATAAATTGCAGAAATCTTGTTGGTGGCATCATCGCAGCTAATTGCCACAACGTCTTAACAGTGGCGGCCGATCCTACTTCACTTTCATTGGCTTTATTTGTGGAAAAGCACAAATTCATAAGTTCCCTAGACATACCATATTAATATTATTGCAAAAATATTAAGCATGATGCTGCTATGTATAACATAATTAAACTCAAATATGTATCACAAAATTCACTAGATCAGTAAAATCTCTGGATTGCCAAAATGCAAACTATGTACAAGAATGGATTGTTTTGTCACAAAAGGCCTCTTTGTGAATATTCTATGGTAATGCGGAACGAGTTACCAGAAAACAAGAATTCTCAACCTGCAAATCCGTAACCTGCAAAACGAAGCAACAGCCTCATTGATACACAACGCAAGACCTTTATTTCCACAACAGCATCCAACTATCATAGTTGGAATGTCCCATATACTTGAAATGTCACCAAGTTCTGGTTGTGCAGACATTTGTCTGTTTGGAAGCTACTATATTTAGTCTCTATGAAGTGTATTGCAAACAAATACAAGTAAAGAAAGAATGACGGACTGTCTGACGCAGTGACAGCAAGAAAAACTCTTCGATGTCCTTGAGGGACATTCACAATGTTTAAAAAACAAAAAAAAGGCTTTCCTATCACAATGCCAATACTGTAAACACAATAGTTAATGTTATGCATTTACATGATGTGCAATGCTAATCATATCGGAACACAATAGCAGTCGTTAGAAGTCAGTAGTTAGCAGTGTTAAAGAGTGAAGTTCAAGACAATAAGTGCAAATGTGGCTCAGTTTTGAGAATGTTGCTCATAGCAACACATTATCATATTGTGTTACAATGATCAGTTTCGCAGATACACGTTCCGTTTGACTATTACACCAGTGCTGTGAGATACAGCCATAGATGTAATCTGGTGTTTGCATTTCCAGTGGATTCAGCAATATACAAGCCATAGTGCTGCACCTAATGATATTCCAGCCCCAGTATAGATCCAATGCTGTTTCTATCCCATTGATACCAAGGCAATAACACAAAATAACATGGTCTAGAGTTTCTTTTTATGATATTATCATATGAGCAATGATACCAACCAGTGATATTGAGCATTATGACAGATGGGTGAATAGTGGCATTAGAAAGGTAAAGAATTTGTGGGACAATGGCAGCATAATTGTACAACATTGTTGAGATGGTGCTGCAGAGATAATACAATGGGAGTGGAGCAGAATTACATAGATATGGAAGTAAGAGTGCAATGGTGTGGCATTGGTGAGGCAGTTTCAATGAAACAGCATGGGATCACTTGTCAGTAATAACAGGATCATATGATTGTAAAGAGTGAAGACTACGAAATTGGTGAGAAAATAGCAATTGATCGAGACAATGGTAATTAAAAAAAGGAATTCTGTATAATTGTCAAAATAATGACGCAAAGATAATACAGTGGTAATAGATCAAAGTCGAAACATGAGATGGTGGCAATGGAATGGCATTGGAAAGAGAGAGAAAAGTTGAATGGTGAATAATGACTTCATGTAACAGTGATAATTCAGTGGAGACAGTGATATGGTTAAATGTGACAATGGCAGTGAATAAATACATTAGAAAGAAAACGGTAGTGGAGCAATGTGAAATTGATGAGGCAGAGGTAGTGGAGCAATGTGAAACTGGTGAGACAAGGTGGTAGAAAAATATAGCATTGGTAAAAGAGAGGAAATGGAGCATATAACAACTAATGAGTCAGGACTAATTGGATGATAACAGTAATGATTGAATTGTTTGACATTACTTAACAGTAATAGAACATTATGATCTTAGTGAGGCAGTAGTACTAGATCAGCATGATATCAGCCAGGGACTCATAGCAGAGCAGTGTGAGCATTATGTTAGAGAGTAATCTTGTAATGGAGTTTAATGGAGACTCAAGATACAATGGGATGACATTGGTGTAATGTAAAGGTAATCCAGCAGAGATGGAACTATGATAACACTGGCCGACAGACAGCAGGAGCACAAATGTAATAGAATAAAAATTATTTCATAATTTATCAGTTTAACGTTTATACTCCAAACAATGACTTTTCAAATGTGTGTGTTTTGTTTTTAAATGAATCTTCATGCTCAGGTTTAAGAAGATGTATCAAATAACGTTTTCTGATCTGAATATTGGGTAAATGTGAACAGCGATAATGAGACCAAAAGGAAAACAAGATCTAAGTGGCTGATTGAATTGTTTAATATGAACCATCCAATTGTATAGATAGGATTATGTATCTATCTGATTGGGTAGCTTTCTCTTTGGATGTGTCTATGCCTATAAATTTGAAAAGCTGATACGATAGTCAAATTGTATATCCGCATTGTCATATTAGCTTGATAAATAAGGCTATAACAAAAGGCTAGCAGATGAATATCTTCAGATGATGAGACTGTTTTTCTGGTTGTAATGTTTGAAACTAAGACCACTATGGATTGCATAGGCTTTACCGAGAGCATAAAGGCTTTTATAACAAAAAACATTATTGAGATCAACTTTTATAAATTGCAAATTGTATTTCAAAGATCAAATGTGTAAAGCTGGTAATTATATCTTCAATAAATTTTTTTCTTGATAAATGATTGTTCATAAGTCAACATATCTTGTGGTACTCATGCTTTCTTGTACAATTTTGCATCCATACATCAAATTTCAGGGGTGATTCTAGGGTAAAGTCTGTGCTAAAGTACAGCCAAGCATCATGTGCATCCACTTCCCAGTCATCAAGCCCTCCGAGCTGCTATCCTGCCTGGAGAGTGCAATATGAATGCAACAACTTATATAGCGCCCTTCATGTAGGGTAGCGTCCCGGAGCACTTCATAGTGGCGGAGTCTGACATCAAGCCAAGGGGAGAGGGAGCGGGGAGGAAGTGGATGCACATGTTGCTTGGCTGTACGTTAGCACGAACATAAAGGAAGGTCTTTAAGCGGGATTTGAAGGTAGGGAAGGAGGGGGCAAGGCGGAGGGATCAAGGGAGAGAGCTCCAGAGTTTCGGAGCGTAATGGCTGAAGGCATGACCACCGATGGTCACAATTAGGAGGCTGGAGCCATCCAAGCAGAGGCAGCGAGTGGTGGAGTGGGGGTAAGCAATCAGATAGGTAGGGAGGTGCGAGGGAATTAAGTGATTTGAAAATGGATGAGAAGATCTTGAAGTCGATCTGTTCGGTGATCGGGAGCCAGCGGAGCCTGGCAAGGACTGGTGTGATGGGGGTATGGAGTTTTATGCAGGTGAGTATCTGGGCAGTGGAGTTTTTAATTAATTGGATTTTGTGTATGATGGAGCTGGGGAGATCTGCGAGGAGCCATTGGAGTTGTCCAGCTGGGAAGTGATGAAGGCTTGGGGAAAAAAGTGCAAGTTGTTATATAAACGCAAGTGGTTATTTCTTCAAAAGAATATTCTAAGAAATACTAACCCGAACTGCATTGGTAAGCTTTCATATAGTAACTAGCTTTTCCAAAGGGGAACATCTCTAGAGAAGTTATTCTGTTTGTTAGTTCTCCAAAAGCTACCCTATGTAGGGGGACTGCGCTTCCGGTCATCTTTTCCCTCCCCATGTTCATCTCCCACCTCAGGCTTGGGCGCTCAGCCAGCAATGTCAAGAGTTTTATATCCTCCCCAAGTAAAAGGTGCTATATAAATGTAATTTGTATTGGATGGTATAGTGACAACAGATAGAGTACTGCCCAATTATCCCATTGCTCTCCAACTTCAAAGCTAAGCACTAAATTCAAGTACCTGTTTTGTCGTAGGATTACATTTTCAGAACGCTCGATCAAAAACAAGTTGTGTTAAACTCTGAAAAGTGCAGGCATTTCTGTGGCTGCATCATGTATATTTATACCACAGATGTGGCTAGTAGCAAGCTGTAATAATGGTTGCAACCTGACCCATGATGGAAAACAGAATTCTTTCCACATGTGATGTAACTCAACTGGAACAAATTGACTATGAGCCATTGTGGTTGGAAATAAAATTCAGATTATTGTAAGTTTGCTTGCAGCACCAGTGGGCACTAGTTGCAGCTATAGCAACACCCGCCTAATAACCGTTGTGACCTTTCTTTTTCTTAATTATTTGTTTGACTTTCCTCTTCAATTTTCTCCTCTCCTAAAGATGGTGACTTATGCTAGAAAACAGTTTCACAGCAATGAAGTGTGGAGTCCTTTAGTATATTGGTTAGAGCACTCGCCTCGCAAATGAGAGGACCTTGGTTTGATTCCGGGGCAGGGCAAAACCTTAGGTAAGTTTCCTTACTCCCCACATTTCCATTTATCTGTCTGTACATAGAAACCTAGTTGTTAGTTGATTGGCGGATCACTTTTCCAGGGGTAATAGTCCCTTCAAATAAAATAATAATAATAATTTGGTCACTCAATCCATGACTGTTTGTGGGACACTGCTGTATGTGATTGGCTGCCATGTTTCACCCACAAAATGTACAGTCAATTCACTTTACAGTATGTTCTATGGTACTTTGAAGACATGATCGGGTCTATATCAAATGCAAGGATTATTATTATTATTATCGGCCTCCATCTAGTCGCTCGTCTAACTGAATGTCAGCAGACTTTGTGACCGGGGAGAGGGGCTGAATGGGGAGAGGAGGAGGAATAAGAGAGGTCTATTTCCACGAATTATATACATTTCCTAGAGACAAGATTTTAGAATGTCACAACGCAGAAACAGGCCATTCAGCCCATCAAGTTTTACCCGTGGGTTTTTATCTATACGAGCTTACCTGATCTAGACCTACTCTGCTCTTTCCTCCCTTCCTTCTGCTGCTTGTCCATCTAGGATCACCCAAGTCATAGATGGACAAGCAGTGGGGAAGATTGCCAAATATTAGAGACATAGAAACAGAGTAGGCCATTCGGCCCCTTGAGTCTGTTCTACCATTCTATAAGATCTTGGTTGATCTGTACCTCAAGTCCAATTACCTGCCCTTGCATCGTATCCCTTAATACCTTGACCTAAGAAATATCTATCCACCTCAGTCTTGAAGACGTGACTGGATCCAGCATCCACAGCCTTTTGCGGGAGAGAGTTCCAGATTTTCACTACCCTTTAGGTGAAAAACTGCTGCTTAATTTGAATTCTAAATGGTCTAGCTATAATTTTAAGATTATGCCCCCTTGTTCTGGATTCCCCTAGTTTCTCTGTATCTACCCTATCAAATCCCTTATGATTTAAAAAAAAACCTCAATCAGACCACCCCTCAACCTTCTAAACTCAAGGGAATAATGGATGTAATAAAAGCATGGATTAGGGTTTCAGTGACCTGAGGGGAAAGGCAGTGGCAGAGCTGGGCAAGGTTGTGGAAGTGGGGTTAGGCAGAGTGGGACATAACACCATTGTGGGGTGGAAAGGACAGTTGAGGATCAAACAAGACTCCAAGGTTCCGGACAAGCTCGGTGAGGAGGAGTGTACATCCTTGGATGGTGATGCTGTCAATACCTGAGGTATGGAGGCACTGATGGGAGACAATCAGGCTTTGTTATTGGAGACAATCAGCATGGTGTTGGCAGAGAATAAATCCAATTTTGTTGTTATGGCCAGTCTCTTTCCCCCTGGCTTGGAGTCAGACTCCGCCACTGTTAAGCACTCCAGGATTCTACCCAGCATGAAGGGCACTATATCAATGCAAGTTGTTGTCGTAGTTAATAATCATACTACCATTTCGTCTAGCACCTTTCACATCGGAGGAAGTCCCAAAATACTGTAAAGTGTAAAGATTTGTGGAAGAATGTAGCAGCAAATTTGTACACAACAAGGTCCCACAAACAGTACATGACCAATTTTATTTTATGTTGGCCAAGACATCAGGAGAAACTCCCTTCTCTTTTCGAGAAATGCCATGGGATCTTTAATGGCAGAAGCGGGCATCATTTTGACATCCCATCCAAAGGACGACACCTCCGACAATGCAGCACGCCCTCAGCACTGCATTGGAATGCCAGATTAGACTAAATGGGTTCCAGGTCCTGACATGGGACAGGAACCCTCAATCTTCTGACTCAGAGACGAGAGTTCTACCAACTGAGTCAGACTGATGCGAATAGTTCACATGTATAGTGATGTGAATATTTTTGTCCTTTTTAGAAAGAAAAACGTTTTGACTTGTATCATAAAGTTGGCCATGAGGTAGAGTTCAGTAGGACAGTTGGCAGTTTTGCGTCTGCTCAGATCTATGCACGAGTGCTATCACAATAGGCTGACTGCAACAACATTAACAAAATTACATTTGTATCATCAACTGATGTGGTCTAGCAGTGATTTTGACAGAACCTTTCATTGAAAGTGAACCGATCAAAAATGTTTCTGATGTGCTTACGCAGTTTATATTGCTGAGACTTAAGTGGAAAATTGTTCTACTTGGTTGGTTTTCATTCCTGATAAACAAACTCTTATTATTGCCGCCTGGACTATGCCCTGAAAATGGGCTTAAGAAATTTTAATTTTTTTTGTCTTTTGTTCAGCCTGCTCTGTGAGTGTTTGGGTTTGCTCTGACAGCATCTGCACATTTGTTAAACCCTGTAAGTAAAAAAAAACACATTAAAGAATCACCAACTGCAGAAAGTGTTTATTCAAGAGGCACCTAAGAAATTAGTCTTAATGCAATGCGGTAATTGTTTGTCCATTTTCAGTGAGAGTAAACCATGTCTAA